AAATATCTAAGTCAAAGTAGGGTTAAGTTTACATTAGATCGCTGTACTTTAAGTGGGCAGTCGCTCGTTAATAAACAAATAAATAAATTTTGTTTGAATTTTGAACCAAAAGTGGAATTCATACAATTCATTTTTTGGAAAGAGGTGATGAACTAGTTGGCTTGGAGACCTTACAAATTTTTGGAACTAAAGTCTAGACTGTAGGCTATTATGCCATGAATTATACAATTGTGAAGAAACATGTTTTCTGAGCTACATGAGTGAGTCACATATTATATAAGGCAATCTTTTCACCTCAAAGCAAAATGACTCATTAATAAAAGTACAATCAAATTTGTTCTATTTGTGAAACGTGTATGTTCTAGAAAATAATAACTTCCTAGTTAAAACATTTTTTAAGTAAATATCTGTTTGTGTCCTTCAGAGTGATGGCAGCAAAGCAGAATTTGTATTCCATTCATATACTTACCGATGTAAGTAAAATTATAGAGATCTAAATATTAAACTTCTTCCTAATGTTAAATTAAAGACATCTATCGGATTGTCAACCATCCTTGCCTCATATTTGCAAGCTTTTTGCCACACTGTTTCATAGTTTGAGTTGATACAGTGTGTAATTATTATTTTTTCCATGCTGAATGCCCTCTTCAGCTTAACAGTTTTGTTGTGCCCATATAGTTTGAATAGGATGCGTCTAATGATTAAAACGAGATATTTGGGAGGATTTATAACTTGAGATAAATTATATAGAATACTCAATTGAAGCTGGGATCAAATATAGTAAGATTCTTTTCCATGACCACTCCTGGATATTTGATCCTTTACAGCTTGTTGTTCCTCTATTTACTTTGTATTAATTGGCATTCTGATGCTATTTTGGTTGTGTATGATTTAGGTTTTGTATCTGCAGCACAATGGAGAATGGTAGCCAACAGCTAGAGAGAACAGCAGGTAAGGTCACATGCACCTTACAGAGATGATTTTAGAATAAAAAGATAACAAATCTAGCAGCAAAAGATTTAATACTCGTGACCAACAGAACTTTCTCTACCTCAACCTCTATGTTCTCAGTTTTTGCATTGTTTTAATATTATTTTGGGTAATTTCCTTCAGTCAAATATCTGTTTTAGTGTGCAGTTCACACATGAATGCGAGTAAGAATAAATAACATTAGAAATGAGGCACAACAGGTTCGTACTCTCTCTTCATGATTGAGTTGAAGGCCAAATATATACTGTGGTCTGTATCATGAGTTTCTGGTGGTCATTCCCCATACAGTGGATCCACCATTGTCCAGGCTACGTGATCAATTAATCGATAAATAGTTATGGATCATAGTAAATACTGATCGTTTTTTGACATACAAGTAAGCCATTTTGAGTGGCGAGCACCAACCACAAGAATACAAAACTAAATTACTAATTGTTGAAAATGTATAACATTGGCAACTTCAGAGGTTCTTTATATCAATGATGAAAATACATTATTTTACTCGCTTCTTATACAGAAAAACTAAACTCAACAATTTCATATATTTTTAGCAACATATTAATATACAGTAATGGACAAAAGTATACAGTATAGGCAAGTTAATATTATACTGTATTTTTTTTTAACTTGTTTTATTAATACACCAACCTCTATACATAATTCGTTATAGCATAATACTCACTTATACATAAATAAATTCATTAGACTCCCTTCAATAAAAAATTAATTGAAAAAACTGGAACTATGGAGGACAAAAATATATAGACAAAGCAAAACAATTATAGAAAATCAACCATGTTTGTGTTAATATTTTGTAGCATAACCATTATTATCAATCACCGCCTGGTATTGTCTCAGCATAAATTGTAGAAGTTTCTTGATATAAGATTCATCAATCTGTCTCCACTTTTGCTCTAAAGTGGCAAAAAGTTCATCCTTGTTTAAATCATTTTTATCACGTATTTGCTTATCTAAGTATTCCCATAGATTTCCAATGGGGTTTATATCGGGAGACTGTGAAGGCCATTTGAGAACTGGTAGTTTTTCATCCAGAAAGAATTTCTTTGCGAGATTTGAAGTGTGCTTCGGGTCATTATCTTGCTGGAAGATTGATTTTAAGGGCATATCATCTTCCATATAGGGTAACATTACATGCTTTAGTACATCTGTGTATACAAACTTATCCATAATGCATCTATTCTATGTAAAGGTCCCATCCCAAACTCCGAAAAGCACCCCCAAACCATAACAGACCCGCCTCCATGTTTGACAGTGGGCAAAGTGTACTTGGGGTTCAATCTTTGTCCACTAGGACGTCTAATACAACATACCCTCTTCCAGTCACAGATGTTCCAATCAAGACGCAACCGTGCAAATTGTAATCGGTCCTTACCGTTTTTGCTCGATATTAGCGGCTTCTTACTCGGTCGACGTGCAAATAACGTCAAATCATTTAATCTTCTACTTATAGTTTTCGTAGATACACTGACAATTCCTTTTGTCTTGATTTTAGCTTATATTTCTTTTGGGGTTTTAAACAGATCTTTGGACGAAATTACTTTTATTAATCTAACTGATCTATCATTTAGTTTTCTAGGCTGACCACTTCTCTTAAAGGCTTGCAAGATACCTTTTTGTTTATATTTGTTCAATATTGCCCAAATTGCTTTATGCTTCAGGTTCAAATTTTTGGCAATTTCTCTCAACCTTCTTTGTATAACTCAATGATCTTAGTTTTCACATCAAAAGAAATTTCTGGACCACGCGGCATGGTCTTAAAATCACTCAACTTATTCTCCATTACTTGATGAACACAGACTAATCCTCTTCTGACACGAAACTGTACAGAAGGTTATAAATCCCAAAAAGGTCCTTATTTTATCATGGTTCCTTAATATCTTTTAAATACATTGCATTTGTATATTGATAGAGCAACTATCTAGAAGTATTTTATAGAAAAAATGAACAAAGTATAACCTTATTTGTACATGCAGCTAAAGACGACAGATGAAAAGGTTAGTCTTTTAACATTCAAGAAAAAATTCAATATCTCAAAAACGGTGACACTTTTATATACTTCCCACTTCAGTTGGCCCTACTATTGAAATCCTAGTTTCTTTCTTATCAAACAGAAATAATAAAATTGCAGCAGGCTGTTATAGGTTTAAAATATTAGCAATGAATATTTTGATAATATATAGTAGAAAACACCAACTTTATCACTCCCTAATCAAATTTGCAGCATAAAAATAACACATGTTGCAATTACAGCATATCAACCTATTTTCATTTCAATGCAAAATAAGTCTATAATGCATAGGTGGAAAAATAAAAGCCATGACAATTGTTTTTATTAATCACAGATGTCAGAATACATTTAAAATAGTATTGGGTAGTTAAGGTAAATGGGTAGAGGAAATTGCAACTTTGTTAGACTTATCGCGGTACAGTGTGAGAAATATATATATTAATAACGTAACTGGTTCAGTTAATATTAAGCCACGATATGTGAAAACAAAGTAATATCACAAATGTCGACCAAAGAGCATTAAGAAGAATAATCGTGAAAAACAGGCGTGCCAATTATTTACAATTAAGTGCTCTGTGGAGTGACGCTGTCGGAAGGAGAATTTCGAGGTCCACAACTCATAGACAGGCCCACAAACTGGGATTTAGCACTTGCAAGGTAACTTTTCTTATATAAAAGGAAATGAAAAACCCTAAAGTTGCACAACTTGTTTATAGCCACTATTAACTCCACTGCAAAAGAAAAATCGGCTTAGATGGGTTAAAGAACATAGACAATGGACACCTCAACAATGGTGTGCAATACAATGGAGTGATGAGGCCCGATTCGAAGTTTGTGTTGGTGATAGTAGCAGTAGTTATTTGCAAAAAAAAAGAAGCATTCCATGTTGACTGTCTGAAGAGTAAAAGTGAAATTCCCAGCATCCATTATGGTATCAAAAGGAGTAGGAAAACTTCATTTTATTGATGGAAATGTGGATATAAACAAATATTTGGCAATTTTAGAAGAATCACTTTTACCAGTGATGGAAGAATGTTTGACATCCGGCCAAGATTTTGTGTTTCAGCAAGATGGTGCTGCATGCCATACCTCAAAAAAGGCTATAAAATGGATGGAAGAAAATTTTTTGAAATGGGTTTCTAGCAGTCTGGATCTGTCACCTATTGAAACTTTGTGGCACGAGATGAAAAAGGTTCTACAACAACATCCTGCTCGTACAATCACCAAACTGAGACAAAAGCTTCAAGAAATATGGGATTGTTGTACACCAAATTTTTGCCAAAACTTGCTTAACACTATGCCCCAAAGAATTTCGGTGATAATAAAAAATAAAGGTGATGTTACCCAATGGTAATCTTTCAATTGTTGCTTTGTTAACTTCGCGCATTTATTCGAACATTGTTTATTTGTTCAGATGTTCTATTAGTTATAGGTCTAAGTGATTTCAAATATGTATTTTTTACGACTAGAGTGTATCTAAAATGTTTTTTGAGAAAATAAATTGTTTTAGAAGTAAATAGTTTCGTCATGTTTAATTTATAAAGGCATATTTTGGTACAAATCTTGAAGTGGGCCAACTGAAGTGGGAAGGGGCTTGTAGATAAAAGGTTTGTGTTTTAAAATTAAAGAAAAAATTCAATATCACAAAAATGGTGACACTTTTATATAGGCAAGTTTTTGTTATTTGCAAGGTCAGTCCAGAGCCTACCTTCTCCTTAAGTTTGTCATGGTACTTATATGTTTAAATTTGTTTATTGTACATTTCAACCACCACTGAGGCCTTTTTCAAGTACAATTGATTTGGCTAGAGCATGGGGTCCTATGAACATGAAAACCACAGGATAGGTTTTGCGCACTATATTGCAGCAATGATATTAGTTGCTTTGCCCTTTTTTCAAGCTAATTCTGCAGATTGTATTAATGTACCTTTTACCAAATGAGAAATTGGTAAAAAAATGTTATTTAAACATGTGTGACTTACCACAAGGTATGTAGCCCCTTCGGAAGTCTTTGGATGAGTGAGGTGAGTCGAGCTTATCAGGAACAGTAGTCTGATACCTCCGCTGGTCCCTCCATACAACCAATTTGCTAAATACGCTAAGAATAGACTCGCAGAGGCTCAGGTGCCTTCTGTCGCTACCCACAATACTTGTCTTTGACCTACTGATATCATTCTCCTTAGTCTCAATGCTCAGAACGGTGGACTTTTGTTTTTGTTTCTGTTTGCATTTTTTCCGGGTGTGTTTCGAGTGCTTTTTCGACGAGGTCTGCTCGCTGTCGTCGTATACCTCGAAGACCTCCAGTTCATAATCCATCTCGCTTCCAGAAATGTCATTAGACCTCACATTTTCCGGACCTTCCGCACGGTCACATACTCGGCACGGCACCGAAATCGAATCATTTACCTAACAACTCAAGGCTCACGACTCTCGCTCGACTACCACTTTTGCAATTTGCGACAACCGCTCTTTAATGCATGCCGTTATAATAAACATTAAAATCTGACATCATCCGTTCTCCGAAGGATGTGTCAAATTTGTCAAAACATTTTTTTCCACTCCTCTCTCTCTTTTCGCTTTTTTCCGTGTTGCAAAACGCCGATATGATAGGTTACGTAGTCACAACGCACTGTTTGCGGTTTATAGTACAGCGTTCCAATCCTAGATGGCACGGACAGGATATCGGTGATGGGAGAATCGAATCATTTATAAGATTCTATATTCGGTATTCGTATCAACGGGGCTGCGTTCGTAAATTGTTACAGAGTATAGGCGTATTCTTTAATTCACCGGTTGAGCCACCTGTGCAAGCAATTAACCAATTTTTCTTCTTTTAATTTCCGTCTGAGCGACCGGTTGTACACCAAACTTGTCTATAAACTATATAGATCTATATAGAACTATATAGGTCGCTCAGACGGAAGTTCTGGTTGCCCCGGTGGCTCAACCGGTGGATTAAAAAATACGCCTTATGCTTTGTACTACTCTGTACAATTTTAGCGTTCGTAATTGTTTGACGTACCTGTTACATGCGTTCGGAAATAGAACAAAGTAAATGCTTCTCGAACGTCAAAAGTGTGCCCGAGCTCAAAACCTTGGGAATAAGAGTTCTGTCACTTGTCATTCTCATAGTTCGTTGTTTGTTTATTTTATCTGGTTATCAAAAACTTCTCAAAATTAGCAGAATATATATTTTTCATGATAAATGCTGCCTCGTATCCCTAGGGTCTCTTATAATAACTACAGAAACGTGGTTAGAAACTAGTCGGCTGTCATCAAGTGTCATTACATGACTCTGTAATATTTGAGGCGTTCTAAAACAAAAGTTTCCCGTGCGGTATTACATTACCAAGTGATTTACAAACGCATCCCAGGGTGGCAAAACATGTGAGTGAGTGATTCGATACTGATCGAAACCTATTTATCTTAAAATGGAAAGAGAAGAATCATATTAACCGACTAATGTTGGGTTTGTAGTATTTCCGTTAAAAAATCTTGATATCCACCTTATCTTAGACTTTTCAGTTCTTCTCCACGCTCAACAAAATTTTTCGAGACATTTATTTTTTTGAAAAGACAAACGACGTTGTTCTGTGAGAAAAAAATTAGCTACACATACATGTATAACGAAAAATTGAATGGATCAAGTCAGTCAAATAGGTCTATACAATTAAAATTTGCATATCTACCCTGACTTTGTGTACCATTTTGTTGCTTTGGTATAAAAAAAGTCAGCAAACTGACAGATCATGAGCGATTTGAGTATTCGTGTTAAATACCTAATGTTCAATCACAAGTTCAACTTTAAACAAAATTCCTCTTGCTCGAGGAGTTTAATTTAAATGTTATGAAAGTAGGTACTCTTATTTTTCAAAATTCGTGTACGAAGTAAGAACTTTTACTATCTGGCCAGGCAACTCCTAGCATGTTGGGACCAGACTTGAATTATATATTAACTTGCTCTACTGCGTCTATTATTTCACGTTGCGTGGAAAATATCTAATCAACCCCATGTTTATTTCTAACGTTAGGGAAATATTCTGGCCGCAATTTTTTTGATATCGCTGATAAAGCATTTATTATATCCAGGGGTTTGTCGAACTTTCTGCAAAAAAATGTAACAATGACCTCAACCAAAAATAACATAGAATTGCGACTCGAAAGGACGGAATTTTCATTTAGTTTCTTACCCGACTGCCTCAGAAAGAGGTTTTTTGTGCGTGTGTATGTGAACAAAAATAATTCTATTTCGCGGGCTACAGTGATCGATTTTGACATATGAGGTGTGATTAGATTCGTCTTAATAGCGCGACTGACACTGGGTATATTAAAAAATTATAAAACAAAAATGACGGCAGGGGTATTACGTATCTTGAGAAGTAACTTTTTTGTGATGCATTACTCCTAATTTTTCTGTGATGTGGCTTAATTACACACCACGTGGGTGAGGATGATTTCCAGTAATGCTTCTGAAAGTTTTTGGAAACGCAAATAAAAACCTCGAAAATTGTAATGCATAAAATCTCTCTTCAGAAAGGACAACACAAATAACCCGTCTGACACAGCTAATGGATATATTTCAAGGGTACCATATTGAATGATAATTTTCTCACAAAGCAAATATCACTGATTTTATACACATGCAAAGCAATACACACAATCAGCTAGACGTGATCTTGCTCTTTTGCTACTCAACTACACATCTTCTCAGACTATCTCGACATTCTGCAACCAACAAAGCAAGATGGACAGCAAATAGTATGGTCAATGAGCGTCATTCCTCCATAGATGGACGCTTTTGATGACGCTCACAGCGCTCGTAGCGAGCAAACCTGGAATGTACTATTTGCACACATAACTATATAGGCAGCAAGTTGACATTTTGTCGGGGAGGAGCTACAGTTTTAAACCTCATTCTTTTTAGTTACTCTACTTATTTTTTATGTTTAAAAAAATACTTGTGTTGGTCATAGCCCAACTAGCAAAGTAGTGGTATAAGCTTTTGGTAAAAGAACCGTTCAGCCATAAAAGCTCTCTATTGTTGTTGCCTGAACACCAAAATGCTGGCTTAATGTAATGGGGAATGTAAATTTGCTTTCTGCAACATATTTGCTCTAAAATGAGGCGTTTGAAATATTCTTATAGCATAGTTATACAACACCTTATAGGGCAAATTTTTAACTGTTGCATAAACGTTTATACAACTATTTTATACGGCATATTTGCAAGTTAGTCAAAATGGTTGTGTTGTGGTACCCATGCTAACGTTTATAAAACGAACCCGAGCCTTGTTGCTTTGCTGTGCAATTTACTACATTAGCCAACAAATTGCTCCCAACGGAAGCACTTATACATCTGTTACATATGCTAAATATGTTGGTAAACAACTTCACCATAACCTTACTTTCTGGTGTCATATTTTTGTTAAAATGCCATAACCAATGTTTTAAGACAAACAACGCATGCATATCGGTTCAAAAGGTTTTATCAACTGTTCAAACAGAAGATATAGATCTGGTACAAATTCTGGGTAAATCATTCGACTCTGTCGGTATTTCATTTCAGACATTTGTCAAATTGTTGTATAACACCTGCAGGCAACACCAAAATATTCTACTAATCTAAAGACAACATGGACGATGCCTTGATTGTACACAACCACCCGCCATATTGGGCAAACATTTATTCCTCTATTTAATATTAAATAATTATGTTTCATTTCGAAATTACAGATATAAAGTGATAAACATTAGTGTAATTGTGTCTAAATATAGGATTTGTGGAAGATTTAACGCAGATAAGTTTAGTTTTCCATCTTAAAAATCTAGACATACTTTTGATCATTGTCAAAATACGAATCAAATACGAAGCCCGTAGAAATTGGGTAACTAATTTGCACGATAATCACAATAACATTTGCTGCGTAAGTAATTCAATAGCCCTATATCAAAGTGTAGAAGTTTATCATATACCTGTGTATGAAATTCACAATGGCCGATATGTAAGTAAACAAGATTACTGTAATGTGTTAGTTATATATTCTTCACTTCGTCTATACAATACATAGGAAATAGTTTGGTTGCAATAAAGTAGAATCACGTAACAGAATAGTTGTATAGTTGACAAAAACTGAATCTTGCACTGACGCAAATGTCCTATAGCGGCTGCAAGAGGCTTACACTTTTGTTTTACAACTGTTACCTGCAGCCCTTATACAACCTCTTAAATGACTGAAGTGTTCTATTAGGTGTGCCCATTTCGCTTGTATAGCTGTTCTAAGAGGGTTTTGCTAATGTTCTTACAGTATACAATGCTGTTTAAGAAATACTGTATAATCATTCTTGCAACTCTAATATGAGTGATAATTGTTAGTTGGGAGGTCTGCAGCGCTTTTCTGGGTTCTTTGGGTGTGGATTAAAACACTGGATACCACTAAAAGAAATGCACTGATTTATTCAACTTGATAAAACATTTATATACACCACTATTTATGTCTGACTAATTCTTATGTCGCCGTTGACTGCACTATACTCCACTCCGCTCTGCCACTCTATCGTATTCAGTACTCTCTGCCCTACTCCCGGCCGACGAGTTATACGAGGGATGTCTTTCAAAGTATTCTCCATGAAGATTAATACACATCTGCATGCGCTCGAACCAATTTTCGAAGCACTTATTCCACTCGTTTGCTGGCAGATCCTAAAACGGCATTTTTGAATGCGTCAACTGCTTCTTCTGGTGACTCGAACCTTTGACCACGCAGTCTGTTTTTAATTTTCGGGAAAATAAAGAAATCGTTAGGACTTAGATCGGGACTATATGGAGGATGGTCCAATAATTCCGTTAAATACTGCCTTGATTTTTGAGCTGTGTGCGAGCTTGCATTGTTTTGGTGGAGGATGATTCTTCTTTCGGGGTTGATTTTTCGAAGCTCGGTGATGACTTTTGGCAAACAAATGGTGGTATACCAATCCGCAGTAACAGTTCTTTGCTCATTAAGAGGAATTGTTGCAATATGACCCGCTTTTTACTCAAATGCCGCGACCATATTTTTCGAAACACTTCGAGAACGGATGACTTTTGTTGGCTTTTATTCACCTTGGAACACCTAAACAGCCAACTGTCGTTAATTGAAACGGTCAAGCGTTTTTTGACACCATTTAACCCTGGCTGCTTTCTGCTCTTCAGTCAACAGGTGGGGTTTGAGGTCTTTGAGATCTTCAAGAACGCCTCAATCTCGCGATATGTCACATGTGTATCTTCAATGATGAGTTTGCGCAACACCATCGACGTTTTCCTGGGTGACTGCCGTTTCTGGTGCACCCACCCTGGGATCGTCGCTAAGACTCACCCGTCCACGTTTGAATTCTCCATACCAACGAGAAATTGTCGACTGATGTGACGCTTCGTTGCCGAAAACAGACAGTCACCCAGCAAAGCATTCTTGTTGCGATAATTGTCTCTGGAAGTTGTAATAAATTATGGCGCGAAAATGTTCTCGGTTGAGTTCCATCTTTCTAATGACTTGGTGACACTTAAAAATTCACTGTAGTG